AGATTCCACCCAAAAATGGGAAATTGTTTACTTTTTAGACACCGTTCATGCAATCGCAAGGTCATCTACATGCCAATCATTTAAGTAACACATATCACACATATATCAATCATTACTTTCATATCACGATATGCAGCGGAAAAGTTATAAGGGAGCTTGCAGATCAAAAATTTGCCATTAGTTTGTTGACATTGTTTTGTTTGATTTGTGATTGTGACAAAAGACAAAAAGTCAAAAAGTACAAAGCCCCAATGCAAAGTAGGCCTATTAAGATGAATTGCCCGATGTGTTTTTGTTCTCTGCCTGGTACTTCGAAAGGACCTTTAATATGTTACAATTAAATGTCATCCTTTATGATGCATAGTATTAGAATTTTTTATTTGTGTGTGTGGACGTGTGGCTTGGGAGTGGCTGGGCGAGTGACCGAGGATGGATGCTGTATAAACTGAAGTTGGCATCTCCTCCCTTTCCCTCCTCTCCCTGCTCACAAAAGCTTCCGTCGATTCCAAAACCTCCCGCGACATATTTTGTCGCTCATCGTAGGGCTTCTTGCCACGGCTTTCCCTGTAGACTATTGCACTTGCTCTGCCACGGCAGATATGTAAGCGGCTGTTTATCAGCGTTAGCAGTTCATCTTGTCACTTGATTTCAACTCCTCCTGCATGCAGATAAATATTTTGTGTGCAAAAGGGAGATACCGGGCAGCGTTCAACAGAAAGAAATGTGAATTGAGGGCACAAAAGCATGTGGAATGGGAATGTTCCACTGCAGTCGCATACTTTCTCACCTTGCTTATCCGAGGTAATGCGCTGTATTTTTTTTTCTTGTCATTCCGTCCAAGCCTTGTCGTACTTAAAGGTCATCCGGCTAGTTAAAGAGCGTTACAGAACATTAGTGTGGATGTACCATGCATAGGTGAGCATGTCACTGCTTCGATGTCACAATGTCGGTAGCATTCTACAAGCCTAGTCTTCCCTTTTAAAAAAAAATTAAAAATTGTAAAATAAAAATGTACAGCCTATGTGCACACGTTTTTAATTGCTGCACTTTGATTATTCTCCAGGGTGCAAAGCTTCCAATGTCCATCATCATCGTCGGCGTGGGGCAGGCTGAATTTGACGGTACGGCGACTTTCATGCTTAAGCCCGCTGCAATGATAAAGATTAATCGCCCCTTTCGTTGTAGACAGCAGAAACACGGCCACGGTAACAATGCGGGGCTTATAGCATTTCTACTTGCTGCTCAACAAACTGTTGAAGTGATGTGAACAAGTACTTAGTAGTCGCTCACGTTTCAAATAGCAGCTCATTATTGTGAGGAAATTGCTGTCCATAATCGTTGGGGTCCAAGGTAGGTGAGTGCTTAATTATGAGCTATTGTGGCTGATGGTAATTACTGGGTTGGCAGTGTTAAGAAGGAAAGATGACCGTGATTTTCAGAGGCCATAACACAGAACTTTGCAGTTGATTACCGTATTTTCACGACCATATGACGCGCCGTATTAATAAGTGTAGTGTCAGTTACGGGTGCGAGTTCTGTATTACCACATACACCAGACGCACTGTATTATTGGACGCAGGCATGCTAAGACGTGCGCTAGCTTAAAATGCACGGTAGTATGCACGTACGTATGTTCTTAAAAATCAGCGGGAGCAAAATTGAGTTCGGTTCTACTTTACTGAAGTGTTTAACGATGCGCTCGCGTTATTTTTTTGATCAATCCTCATCCTCAAATCCGTCCAAGTCCTCATCTTCTGCATCCGAAATGAACAGCTGGGCAAGTTCACAATCAAACACGCCGGGTTCCCTCGCGTCATTGTCACAATCTGTCTCATCGCCGTGCATTTGTCAACGCATTCACAAAATTGTGGAGTAACTCGCCCAGCGCTGCCTCCCAGTCTTAGTAAAGTTGTTCGCCATCGGGACCCACGCCGCTCGCAACTTCACTTTGGCCGATTCAAGCGGCCCCCTCATCAAAGTCACACAACAGATTTTGGAACTCATACACAAGGCGACCTGCATTATTAGGCGCCCCGTCCATTTTGGAAAAAATTCCAAGACTTTTACGTGCACCTTTTTGGCCACGAAAATACGGTACATATATGCGGCTATGGGGTACACGCAAAGTTATTCCCTCCTTTTGTGAGGTGCGGTATCAATAATTTCTTTGCTTTCCACTCATGCCTTTATATTCTTGCAGCTATGGTGGAGTTGGATGGTGATGACATTCGGGTCTCTTCCCGGGGGAAACTTGCAGAGAGAGACATTGTCCAGGTAACAGCTCCCGAGCATAAACGTTTTAGCACTGTCGTTTTAGATACGCTATATAAGTCCAAAAAGGGAGACCGGAGAAAAAGTTCCATGCCACACCATTCATTCGTATAAAAATACTGATGCAACAGGCTGCATAGATGTCCTAGATGCCCCCCCCCCCCCCCCCATTGGCTCACAGTAATATACAATTTCCAGGACATTACTGCACTTCTTGCCTTTGCACCGCCTGTTAAATTCGGTGCTTCCAAAAGCCACCCAGAGCCAAACAACAACAAAAAGCAAAAGGAACCCGATGCTAATCTCTTGATGCTTGATAAATTGAACTCGGCAAGCTCTGCAGGAGCCTGATAACGATCCCGATCATTTGAATCGGGTGTGTTGCAGCAGCGAGAGATGAAAAACATGCAGGGTAGCGGAGTTCGACGCCTGTGCTCTACCACATATTCAAAGCTCGCCAAACGATAACGATCTGCAATCAGTGTGTCATTCTATTGCTTCGAGTGGGTTTTATATCACATCTTGTGTTGTTCCTCCTCAGTTTGTTCCCTTCCGAGATTATATGGACCGGACAGGTAACCACGTGTTAAGCATGGCCCGGCTGGCGAAAGATGTGCTAGCAGAGATCCCCGACCAGTTCATTTCCTACATGAAGAGCCGAGGGGTTAAACCGAACCCGGCGCCGCCGCCCTACACGCCGCACGGACTTACGCACCACCACACACACATCTGACCAGATGACATTTTCATTGGTGAAGCAGCTTTTTCTCGAAGAGAGGATGCAAACGTTGCAGGACTCGTTGGCAAAAAGCCCTTTTTTAAACTCAGAACTGCGGCATAGACTGTTTCGCGTCTAAATGGACAGCGGGTGGATTGAACAACAGCAACAAAAAAAGAGAGATCATGTTGTGGTTGAAACTTGTGCCTGTCTGTGCTCGTTTCTGACATTGTTTCAGGACACGTGAACTTTGACCTGAAGCACTACTTCTCAGTTTTTGGTGTGGCCTAATCCGGTAAGATTTTCAGGCACCTTTTTCTTGTCTGGAATTAGTTTTTATATTTGGAGATGATCTCCTTTACTTTACGAGGCATCAGGACTGATTAAAGAAAAATACCGGTGTGTGCAGTTTACAATTTGATTTCTTCAAACATCAATCAGGTATTTCACACCCTCAGACCCTGACCTTCTCTAATTGAGGAAAAGTTACGAAAGAGTACAAGATTCCCCTTTTTTATTACATTCTACTGTCAAATACTATTCAGCGTGGCACAGATAGTTGATAAAACTTCAAGAAAAGCAAAACCTATTTTTATTTAATTTACAAATAAGCAGCAGATGGCTTCTACGGGCAGCTGCAGGTTAATCCTTGCGGATCTACTTCATTAAAAATAGCGGAATATATTCAAAGAGATATGAAGCGTATTTATTGCTAGATTATTTTTACAAGCATCATCAAAATTCTCTTCCTGCACCATTTTTGTTTTCCGACAGCGCTGTACTGATCATCGTATTTGCTTGTTTGCATTGGTTGGCATGTCACAATCATTCAAAGGTAATTATTTGTTTTTTTATCATTTGGTTTCAAACCCTT